CTCTTCCCTCAGCTTTGCCCTGGGATCAAGAAAAGGTCCTGTCTTCTTTCCTGATCTCTAAATGGCTCCACTTTTTCACTTGTTTCCCCAGGCATAGATGATGAAGTGAATTTAAGTGAATTTGCTGTATAGCACTAATGCTTAGGAGCTGCTAGTGTTTAAAGCATAACCCTTCTGAGAGAAACTGTACATCTTCCTGTATGAGAAGTCCCTATATGCTGGATGCAAATTGTGGAGGTTCCAATACCCATAATATTATATCATATTGCCAATTAAGGAGTTGTCTCAGGTGCTTACCAGGTAGTGGCCAAAATGCTGTCAACATAATTCAGTATTTTATCCTCTTTTAGAGTTCATAGTAAGCATAGAAATGGTGCAGATTTGAGCCTCAAACTGGTGATAGGAGTGTGACTTCCAAACAGTCACTTCATGTAGGAAAACTCCTCTGTTCTGAGGAAATACCTCACCTGTGTGTTTTTTCTTTTTTTTTCCTCTTTCAGCATATAAAACTGTATCAGGTGTCAACGGTCCTCTGGTAATCTTGGATCAAGTTAAGGTAAAGGTTATTTTTAACAAACTGGGTGTTGAGGGAGATTTTCCAGGAAATCTGTGACAGATTAAATCCCAAGTATCATAAAACTCACCCTCCTACCCTAGGCAAACTTTGTATAGTCCCCATGAAAATGTTTTTAACTCGATTAAATTTTGGCTACTTTGGAGTGAATTCTGATGATAAAACTGTTAAAAGATCTGGTAGTTACTACAGTGCTAAGTGTGCTCAGAACTATAGAAATACTATTTCTTATCTTCTGGATTTTAATGTTTTCTGCTGTCTTTCCTGTTCATTCTCAGTTTCCTAGGTATGCAGAGATTGTCCACCTGACTCTTCCTGATGGCACAAGGAGAAGTGGACAGGTTCTAGAAGTCAGTGGCTCCAAAGCTGTAGTTCAGGTAAAACTAAACCAGGAGGTTTTATATATGCTTCCTTCTAAGCAGCTGTTTCCTGTTAATATTAGCTTTTCTTATCTGAAGACCTTTATGCTGCTGGCAAAAACAGACTCGAGAGCAAAGGTGTCATGCTGGGCCCTGTTGGTTGCTGCTGATGCACCTTGGGTCTTGTCTAAATTAGGTATTTGTTTTGTAGTAGGGAGTTTTCTTCCTGTGCAAGATGTGAGACACCATTCTGCTGCATTGCAGTATTTGGTCAAGGACAATACTTACCCCTTTCCCTGGTATTTCTTCTGGTATGTGTGCAGGTATTTGAGGGAACTTCAGGTATTGATGCTAAGAAAACATCATGTGAGTTTACTGGGGATATTCTTCGAACTCCTGTCTCTGAGGATATGCTTGGTAAGTGTTTGCATCTTTGGAAATGAGCAGATGTATCACATTTAATTTCACAGCAACTAACACTTCAATTTTATTGCTGTATCTTGCAGGCCGAGTATTTAATGGATCAGGAAAACCTATAGACAGAGGCCCTGTTGTTTTAGCTGAGGATTACCTCGATATAATGGGTATGTTCTTAGTCCATTTCTGCTGTGGAGCTAGATAAATCATGTCTTCCTGATTTCTGAATGCTAAAATGGATTCAGTTTTGAAATGAAGGCCTAATGGTGACATTTTGTTCTTAAGTACATGTGTAGCATCAAACAAATCAAAGATGTTTGGGCTAATGATGAGGTAGCAGAAAATAACTTTGTTGTAGTACTTGGAAGCTGTCCTTTGAAATATATATATTGACTATCCTAATTGTCCTTCAAAGACAAGAAATTAGTATCCTGACATGCTTTTCTTGAAAGTATCCTTGCTGTTTTAATGGAGGTATAAAACCAAAGAATTGGGATCTGTAAAAGGTTTGGATTTGTCTGGAGTGGGTAAAGAGCTGTAAGCGTGAAGTTGGTTTTGTAGCTCTAGACATGAACTTTCAGATCTGTGCTAATTTGATCATGTTTTAAACTAGTGCATGAAATATCTAAATATGCTGTTTTAAAATTACAATAGGTCAACCAATCAATCCTCAGTGTCGAATCTATCCAGAAGAAATGATTCAGACTGGCATTTCTGCTATAGATGGCATGAACAGTATTGCCAGGGGGCAGAAAATTCCCATTTTCTCAGCTGCTGGTTTGCCCCATAATGAGGTTGGTACACAGGCGAAGCTATTTTCAAACCTGCTGAAGCAGTTTGTGTTTTTGTGGGGTTAAAGAATGAGTTAAATTCTGGTCTAATAGCAAAAATCTACAGACACACTAACCTGTGTGTGTTTTTTCTCTCTGTCTCTAGATTGCAGCTCAGATATGTCGCCAAGCTGGCTTGGTGAAGAAATCCAAAGATGTGATGGACTACAGTGAGGAAAACTTTGCTATTGTGTTTGCTGCTATGGGTGTAAGTCCCTATTATTGAAGGAAAACGATACCTGAATGTTAAATAAGACAATGCTGAGTGGTAGTTGAGCATTAATATTTCTGAAAGTTTTTTTTGAGTAGGTTTTATGTATAATGAAAGTGATAAATAAACTCACTGGCCAAAAAATAAATAATAAATGGCCAATAGTATGATGATAATGGAAATGCAGTCTAGATTTCTAGAAATCATTCAATTTTTGTCAAGATGGTACAGGAGTTTTTGTGAGAACTTTTATATAAATTAATAACAAGGTATTTAGATTTGAATGTGATGCAAAAATACAGCATGCTGAAATATGGTCTTGAATGGATATATCTTTATATTGTGGTTTAGGTGAACATGGAAACTGCTCGATTCTTCAAATCAGACTTTGAGGAAAATGGATCCATGGACAACGTGTGTCTGTTCTTGAATTTGGCTAATGATCCAACGTAAGTAGTTAAACTGTATCAGTTGGGAAAATGCAGAGGGAAAAAGTAAACTGGAATCTGAAGCCACGCTGCCAGATATTATTTATGTTGACACT